CACTCTTCGTTGCGTTGGGACAGCCCCGCCTACGTTTGCTCTACTGTCAGACATGGCGCAGCGTCAGCCGGCGACCGCCCAAACGACAGTTCACGAGAAAATTCAATTTACATTAAAATGTAAAAAAAACAAAAAAAACAACAACAACGACGACGACAACGACACCATTGCCAACAACGACAGCAATAACAACATCGACGACAACATTAACAATATCACCAACAGCAACATATACAAATGAACCTTTCAGGCCCCCAAGATGATCACGACCCTGGAGAGTCGCATGGCCGGCCCCATGATGACCCAACAGCAGATGATCATGCAGGGATCGAACGCGCCCATGACGAACGCGGGCTTGGCCATTATCCAGGTCAAAGTGAAGGGCGCGGAACTCTCGGCGACGATGCGCAGCGACCCACGTGACCCGCAGGCGGAGCAGTTGCTGTGGCCCGACTTCCAGGACTTCGAGAACGTGAACCTGCGCCCTGGAACGTACGCCGTGGTGAAGTGCTGGGGCGAGGACTTCTTGCGCATGGTCAACGCGGAACCCGCTGCTCTGGGGGAAGCTTGTGGGCACGCAGGCCTGGCGGCAATGATGCCTGTGGCATTCGCTGGCGAGGTGGAAGTCGACGGCAACATGCATCTCGCGGCCTGGACGAACGTGTCTGGCACATACCAGGTGCCCTCCAAGCTCGCGAAGCAGTCTGGTCTTCCACCGAACTTGTTCTGGAAATTCGTGGACCGCGAGAACTTGCCAACTCTCCCCGACCATGGTCGCCTGAAGTTCGTGCGCGGCGGGAACGCGCTGCAACCGCCCGAGGTATCCGATGACACTATCGACCGAGCACTTTCGCAAATGATCGGCGACGGCCTGCAGGGCGAGAGCCGCGCCGACGAGGAGCCGCCCGAGAAGCGCCAGAAGACCAGTGCCGACTTCGTCAAGAGCTTGCTGTTCGCATCGAGTTCGGGGTCGTCGGGCGGCGGGCCCTCTGCGCTGGGAATGGCGCGGCCAGTCGAAGCGCCAGAGGCCCCCGCGGCGGTGGAGGCTGTCACGAAGGACCCCATGACGACAGCAATGGAGATAATGGAGAAGGTGGCGACCGACTTTGACGACCTGCCGAAAGACAAGAGGATCCTCGTCGGCTTGGTGCGCTACTTGAGCGAGGCGCCCATCTCCAACTACGCCCTCTCCAACCACCACCGCCTCACCATGCTCCTCATAGTCGAAGGTGATCGTTGGCGGGCGCACTCGAAGGGGTGCTTCTACTACACGGGCGGGTGCCGGGATCAGGTCGAAGCCTTCGACATCAAGGGCTGGGACTTCATCGCGGCGCTGGAGGGCGTGTTCGCGAAGATCGGCGGCGCTGGCGTGGAGGACCATGATTGCCCTGATTGGAAGTGGAGCGCCCTCCAGGGGGTCATCGGCGAAATGCCGCGCCAGGACGCCGTGACGCTCGCCACTCTCTGCAACGAAGCGAAGAAGCACTCGGACGCCCTCACAAAGGCCACCGGAAATAAAGGGTGGAAGGGCAACTGGGCCCTCAGAGCGGTGGATCTGATGTGCGCGTTCAAGGCTGCCGTGGACAAAGGGGCCACGCGGACTCCCCTGACCATGCTGCCCCTGAAGACTTGCGACACGCCGAAGCCAAGGTCCCAAGGCGTCACGTTCACCGACTGTTACTTGGATTCGAGTTGGGATACAGCCGTTCCAAAGCCGGAGAACAATTGCTACATGCGGGTTCCTTACCAGTTCTTCTGGTCGGACGACGACATTGCGAAGGCGGGGATCGACGTCGTCGAGTGGGGCCAGCGGTTGACAATGTTCCTGCAGGGCCTCTACTGTATGAACGAGCCGTCTTCCAGTTGGAGCTGGCGTCGTTGAAACTGGCGTTCCTGCGGATCAATACGGCGAAAATGAACTTCAAGATTGGACACGGAGGGGATGGCAAGCACATGGAAGCCACCTTGCAGAGGAACATCGTCGGGGAAGCGAATGCCCACTACTTGGACTGCGGCGTCTTCTACGATCGGTCCGAATGGCGCAAATCTGGCGGAGCAGCGTGGAACAAGTCTATCGTCCGCATACAGGAGTGCGACGCTAACGCCCGCATGGTCTCTGACATTTGGAAGCGGTTCATTGTCGCGGAGGAGCTGTCATGCCGCGTGAACTACGGGTTCACCGTGCAGAGGACCTTCGGCGAGTGCAAAAAGGACCAAGAATTGAACTACGAGAATATCCCAGTCCTAGAGAAGACAGGGGGAACGCGGAAGAAATTGTGCGAGCAGCTGGAGCGGCGGATCAGATGTTCCCGCATGGGGAAGGCCACGTTCGTACACAGCGACGACGACGTATGCCACGAGGAGGGCCGCTTCAAGAAGATCCCGCAGGACACGTTAGATGAGTTCTTATCGCGCCCGTGGGTCGTTGCGAGGTTTCTACACAAGTACTTGCGGCCATTCGCCAGGAACTACACTCCCAACGAGTCGCTCGTGATGCTGGACGATATCAAGTCGCTGAGCACGGAGATGCACAGGGATCTCGTGTGGTTGGCTTCCAGGCTCTCAGGTGGAGACGACCCGCCACCCGAGGACGGCCAGGTGGCAGACGTGGTCGAGCGAACCTTGATTGCCGCTGCTCGCGCGAACACGCCCGCGAAACCTGTCGTGAAGGCGTGCCTCATCGAGACATTGGATTGCATCCCTGGGACGCGCAAGCCAGGGGAGAAGGGCTCATCAAAGTGGCAGAACATTACATCTGCCATCGGGAAGTCGAATCTGCGCCTCTTCACGCAGGCCGACACCAACGTCTTGAGGAAGCTTATGGTCAACTACGACAAGATGATGCGGACGTGGAATACATGCGGCGGCAGGGGCGTTCTTGGAGACTGGGAGGAATGGGGCAACCCGTTCGATCACATTGACAATGCATCTACGCTGGTTGCAGATGGTTCCGTCGAGTGGTACGCGATGATTCTGGAGCACCTGAGCACTCCCGTGACGGCCCTTGACGGCGTGTCCACCACGAAGGTCAGATGCGTGGAGATGCCTTCCTTGGGTGCGTTGCAAGAGTACGCCAACGGCAAGACGGACCGGCGCCAGCCTGTGCTCGACGCGTACATCCAGCGCTGCGTCGCCCACTACAACAGCAACGAGCGGTTGGTTAAGCTGCCAATGGATTATTACACCTGACCCATATGCGCGCGAGTTGTGCAGAGGGGTCGGTGGTCAGAAGCTCACTCGCGAGGCACGGGTAGCCGCATTCCCCGACTACATCGAGAGCGACGCTCCGCGTTGCCACCCGCGCTTGTTCAAGAAGGCACTGCAGGCGCGCGGCTTGTGGAGTGATGACAGGTTCCCCATGATCCACAAGTTCTGCGTCGACTACAAGAAGTGGCGGGAGGCCGTTGCTATGTGCCTCGAGGTCTCCGCTGACGAGTCCAAGGTTGAGTTGATCAAGCTGTTCTACGGTGCTCGGCCAGCCACGCAGTTGCCGTGGCTTTTGAAGCTCTCCAACGAGATTGTGGACGGCACCCACCTCCTGCTCGGTTGCGCCGAGTTCGCGGAATACAACGTCTTATACGCCGACCACCCCAGCCCCGCATTCAGCAGGATCGCGGCCATCCTGTCGCACATGGAGAATGATGCGTTGATGGTTCTGTTGGACAAGGTTCGGGGCGCGGGGAGCATCAGCGAGGTTCTCATATTTGACGGCCTCCTCGCGAAAGTCGTGGATTTCCGAGGCGAGGCGATGCTCGCGGCAGCCGTGGCCGAGGCGAGCGCAGCCGCTGGCGTGGAGTTCCAGATCAAGTCATGGCAGCGCGGGGCCGAGCACGTGCGCTTCGCCAGGGCAGTGCTTCGCGGCTCACAGACGGTTGTCGTGCGGAGGGGGCGCGGCGATCGCGAGGTAGCCAATTGCGTCGTCTCGGTGGCTGACTGGGCACAGCTGGCCCCCAAAACCATGCTCGACGAAGAGAGCGCGACCATGGCGGTAAAGGAGTTCAACGAGTCCGAGTTTGACCATTCCCAGCGGGACGCGGCCAAGATCCCTCAGTTCACCTAGGAGACTGCGAACAACGTCTTCCGCCTCGACCATCCCGAGGGCACTGTCTACGGTGTCATTGAGCCTCAATCAGCGCCTGCACATTGCCATGGCGTCAGAAGCTTGGAGGGCGATTGCGTGGCGCTATGGGGCCCAACGGCGCCTTCAGTCGAGATGCACCTGCCCTTGGCCGACCTTGAGGCGTTCGCAGAGGGCATGGACTTGAAATGGTTCTCGCTCAAAGCGGTACACGCAGATGCGGGGTTGCCGACTGGCGGCGGCGACGCGGACTACGCCATTCCAGTTGCGGGCGCCGACGCGTTGTTCCAGCCGGGACCTGGCTTGCAGATGGCCGTAGACACTGACGGGCCCTTCGAGACGAATCTGTGGAAGTGCGTCCACTGCCAGTCCCCCTTGCACTTGCACAGAGGGGAGGGTTGCGAGATCTCCCGCACCCTTTACGACCTCCACCAGACCACTGAGATTGCGGTGAGGACATGGCGGTGCACTAACAAAGGATGCAGACTCACGCACGGCCCAAACTTCATGTGGGTCGAGGGCGACAAAGTGAACACAGCCACGGTGGCCGACTTCGAACAGTCTGGCGTAGTCTTCGTAAGCAACAAGAGGGCGTTCACCATGTGCTACCTGCGCTACCACGAGAAGATGATGTTCCGCGCCTTCACGACGGCTCGCGGCATCGACTGGGTCACGAAGGAAGTCTTTGCGAACAAGGCCGATGAAGGATACGGCAAGGAGTTCGTCACCGATTTCAGAAAGCTCCACCTCGACGCGCTGATGTACCTGATCGCAGTGCAGGAGATGGAGCCGATCAGGGAGCACCGCGGGGTCGTCATCGGCAAGGAGATCACCGACGATACCTTCTCCAAGCTGGACAGCTACGATCACAGGAACGCGTTCCCCGCTCCGCGCCCGAAAGACATCGCAGTTCTCGTCGGGGACGGGCACGAGAAAGTCCTCACGAAATGCAATGAGGAGGAGAGGCAGCATCGCGCCGTGCGCAGGGGGCCAGCAGCGATGAAGGGGTCAATGAAAAGGGTGCGCAAGACCGCCATCAAGAAGCACGCCCTCCGCGTGAAGCCCGCCGCGAAGAAGAAGTCAGTGGTTCCCAAGAGGCCGTCCGCCGCGCCAGTTCGCAGGAGGCCGTCTGCCGCTGCACCAGGCAAGAGGCCGTCCGCCGCAGCGATTCGGAAGAAGGCGCAGTACAAGAACAGCGTCAAGGCAGTCCGCCACATGCATCACAACCACGGCTGGTTCATGGTCCTCACCCCCGAGGGGCGCATCGTTGCCGCAGTCGAGCAGAAGAACCCCGAGGGCAACGGCGTGGCGGCCGAAGCCCTGACCCGCGCGCTCAAGAAGCACCCCAACGTCAACACGTTCGTGTACGACAGGTGCTGCTCCTTCTACGTATCAGCCCAGAAGTTGTCTGCCTGCAAGGACATCAAGTACTGGTCCGTAGATTGGATGCACGCGAAGGGCCACACCCGCAGCTGCCCCTGCAACCCGTGCCACATCATGCGGTTGGGCCGCCGCTTGAAGGGCATCAACACGCAGGTGGCGGAGCAATCCTTCTCGTGGTTTAGGGGCTACGCGCGGCCGCTGAACGAGATGACCCCGCTGCGCCACAAGCTCTGCGCGCTCTACTTCGCCAAGCTGCACAACAAGTATGTGGAGGAGCATAACGCCGATTACCTGCCCCCGAAGGAGAGCCTCAAGACGACGCAGGGGAAGGGCGGGCATTGCGGCTGCCCCTAGTGAAGCCAGGTCGAGTATTCGGGTTAATGGCTGGGGCCAATATATGTGCATGTAAAGCTGTTCTGCGATATCACTCTGCCTATGCGCTGGGTCTGCGTTGATTAGCGTGTTGGTGCGCCAGACGCCCCAGCGCGAAGCTACAGCTTGCTTGATTGAGTTCGTGCGCGGGTGTAGAGCTGTCCAGAGCGATGGTGCATCATATGTGCCAACGGGGCGCTTTGTGATAGTTCATGGGGGTTCAATACTGTTGGGGGTCATGGATTTTGCCATGACGCGCTGCGCGTGTAGCTTTGGTGTTACGTTGCTAAGGTTCGTGTGCGGTCTTAGGGGCCGAGTAATTCACGAGCGCGCCAGATGTGCCAACGCGACACTTGCATATTGCATTCCCATTCAGCACTGACAGAGATATCTTTCGTGCTCGGCCAGTTTGGTTTTTGAGCGCGTGCGGGCTCATACGAAAGGTGAGTTCTTTTTTTTCCACGTTGTGGGTAAAAAGACCCATGCTCATAGTCCCTCCTCTCCCTCTCCCTTTCCCTCTCCCTCTCCCTCTCTCTTTCTCTTTCTCTCTCTCTCTCTCTCTCTCTCTCTCTCTCTCTCTTTCCGCCCCGATCAGTTCCCCCCCGCTCTCTCCTCGGGCCCGCCTCCATCGACGTCCAGGCGGCCGCCGCTCGGCCGACATGCGCGGGCAAAGAGGCCCTGCGTTTCGTGGAGAGCGAATGCGAGCCTCCGGAAGGAGGAGGAGGAGGAGGAGGAGGAGGAGGAGGAGGAGGAGGAGGAGGAGGAGGAGGAGGAGGAGGGGGAGGAGGATGAGGGAGGAGGGAGGAGGAGGAGGTGGAGGAGCAGGAGAGGAAGAAGGAGGGGGAGGAGGAAGAAGGATTTTTCGTGCCTCCTCCCCCCCCCAAAAAAAAACGGGGTGGCCTTCGTTTTTTTTTTGGGGGGGGAACACGCAAAACAAAAAATGGAAGGAGGGAGAGGGAGGAGGAGGAGTAGAAGGAGGGGAGGGAGTTGAGGAGCAGGATAGGGAGAACGAGCATGAAGAGGAATAAGGGGAGGAGGAGGAGGAGGAGGAGGAGGAGGAAGAAAACGAAAAGAAAGAGGAGGAGGAGGAAAGGAAGACAACCATACGAAAACACCCCTCGAAAGGCGAGGGCCCCCACAATCCCCCGTTCTCGAGGAGGAAGGGGGGAGGAGGAGAGGGAAGGAGACGTCCGACGGACCTCCACAGGGACGGCAGACCGCTCAGGGCTCTGGCGCGGGTCCTCCTCGAGGGAGGGTCGAGGGTGGGCGCAATGCGCAAGCCCCCCTTTCCGCAATGCGCAGTGCTCGACCAGGCCCTCGCCTCCTCCGAGCTGGGCCGCTCCTCGTCCTCGTCCTCGTCCTCGCCTCCCCCTCCTCCTCCTCCTCCTCCTCCTCCTCCTCCTCCTCCTCCTCCTCCTCCTCCTCCTCCTCCTCCTCCTCCCCCTCCTCCTCTTCCTCCTCCTCCTCCTCCTCCTCCTCCTCCTCCTCCTCCTCCTCCTCCTCCTCCTCCTCCTCCTCCTCCTCCTCCTCCCCGTCCCCCCCTCCCTCTCCCCCACTCCCACCCCCTCCACCTTCGCCCGGCTTGGCTTTACATCGGCTCGACACGTAGTTGTCCGGTTTGGGCGACTGGGTTTCTTCCATGGAGAGGCTCATGGAACGTGCCAGCTTGAACATTGATGTTTGTACGCTCGATATTTGTCCACCCTTCCTTTCTCTCCGCCGCGAACCGCGTGTCCTTTTTATTCAAGTGGCTTACGCGATTCCGCCGACCCTCACAAGAAGTGAGTGTTTGAGACGATCGTGGAAGTTGCTTATCTTGTGTCAGGAGCCTCCTGGATGAATCTGAGGGTCTCTTGGGATGCCACTCTGGGGCCTTTTGGAATATCTTGGGAAGCTAATTGGGGCCTCGTGGGGGCCTCCAGGGGGCTTCCTGGAGGCGCGCTGGAGGCCTCTTGGGGCCTCTTGGAGGGCCCTCCAGACAGGTGCGGATTGTCAGGCTCGACTTGATCTCCGGGGCGGGGGGAGGGACAGGGTGCCTGGAGGTGGAGGGGCCGCCGCTGCGGGGGCGTGGAGGAGGCCACGGGGGCTCGCCGGGGTCCGTCGCTGGGCTCGCAGGTCAGCTCGGGCGACGAGCTGGTGGAGGGTGAGGAGGAGGAGGAGGAGGAGGAGGAGGAGGAGGAGGAGGAGGAGGAGGAGGAGGAGGAGGAGGAGGAGGAGGAGTGGAGGAGGAGGAGGAGGAGGAGGAGGAGGGATAGAGGAGGAGGTGGCAAGGCTCCTTCGCGCCGTCCTGCCCGTGCTCCTCGCCGCCCCCCCCTCTCGCAGGAGGGTCAGCCGAGACCACGGCGGCTCTCCGACCATGGGTCCTCATCCTCCATATGTGAGGACTCGAAGGGGTCGCTCGCCCATCTCGGCGGAGGGCGGCGGGGGCGTCGCGGAAGCAAGCGGAAGCAGAGCCAGCCGAAGCACATTTGGGTCCGTCCGGAGAGTTGCGCCAGCAGCCGGAGAGTGGCGATACCGTGCGGGGTTGTCTCGCCACTAGTTTTCCCGCCCCATTTCCAGGCGCCAGAGAATCAGGAGGGAACAAAAACACAGAGACACAATGAGTCGTCGATTCCCCAGAAAATATTAGAAAATATGGGCAGTGGGGGGGAAGACAGAAACCCAGAAACTATGGGAAAATATGGGGAATCCCTTTATTTATGTGTATTTATTTGTGTGTCCCAGGGCCCCTTCATGTAGTTTCGCTTAAGACTTCATCAGAACCTTGTTTCTGGACGCCGTCCATGCCGCAAGAAAGTTTCGCTTTCGTGTGAGACTTCCTCGCGCACTGTTTTGCGGCCCCCATGTCGCGCCGCCACACAGTTGCTTCGCCCGAGACATCCTTCGCGCGCAAGTGTGCCTACACCGAAGAGCGGACACTACGGGCTTCCTCATCTTATGCGTATCGCATTGCGCGTTACATACCATGCGTATCGCATTGCGCGTTACGCAGACAAGCCGGATTCACATTCGATTTGTCTCGCATTGCGCGTGATGCAGACAAGCTGGATTTCAAGGGCCGTAGCCTCACCCAGCCCTAGGCCAGGGCGGCTGTTCGCAGCGGTGGTCGCTTTCGGTTCACGGGGTCGCGTTGGGGCCATCTTGGGGGGAGGGTTGTATCGGGGGCCATCTTGAGGTCACGTTGGGGCGCGAGGCTGATTCAGGATTGGCCGACGACCGAGGTTCGGGGATCGTTCGTGGGTCGTCGACCCAGGATCCGGGGTCAGTCGAAGATCGAAGATCCAGGGATTTAAAAATCGAGGTTCTGCATCCTAGGTCTTGGATCTTCGACTCTTGAGTCGACCCTGAATCTTCGAACGATGTCTGATTGGTCCTGGATCCGCGGACTTCGATCAACCCTCGATCTTCGATCCTGGATCTTGGACCTTTTCAGCGGCCTTCGACCCTCGATCTTCGAGCGATCTTCGAACCATCCTTGATGCGTGATTTTCGACGTATCCTGGATCCCCGATCTTGGATCTTCGATTTTCGATCGATTCCTAGGTTCTGGGGCTTTCGCGTTCTATATATCCTGGGCCCTCGGACTTCGATCGATCCTGGATCGTCGATCTTCGACCGATCCTTGATCCTAGATCCTGGGATCGAGGATCCGTGGTCGATCCAAGACCACACATCCAGAAGTGACGGAAAACCCGAGCTCCTGGATCCAGAGCGATTGTGGTCGTGCGCTGGCGGAGGGAGCTGCCAGGATACTGGGTGCGCGTCAGAGGAATCGAGGGCTCGCGCCTCCGACTCGGCGGGAGGGGCTGCGGGGCCGCGGAAGCAGGCGGAAGTCGAGGGACTGCGATCCCGTGCGCGGGGGCCGCATCGGGGATCGAGAACTGGGCGCTTCCAGCTCGGCGGAAACTGGGCAGCGGAGTCGGGCGTGGACGAGCCGAGACCGCTCTCTCGCGTGGGAGCCAGCTCACGGGCCCTGCATCCACATCTCTCACCACCCACCAAACCACCCCAACCCAACCTGAAAGCCTCAATTTGCCCTCCATTTCCAGTGTGGGGGGGTCGGGAAACATCGAAAAAACACATGTGGAACCCTTACCTCCCAACCCGAAGTTCGGGTCTTCGGGTTGGGTTGGGGTGGTCTGGTAGGCAGTCAATCTCCACATCCATTTTGGCTCAAGCTCGATGTTCGCCCGGGGCCACTCGCCGGGGCACCCAGGGCCAGCGAGAGGAATGATCGGCGGGGGCGGCGGACCGAGGCCGTCAAGGCCTAGAGCGGTCTGGCCGAAGAGTTCGAGGTGGACTCGATCTCTGCACGGCCGAAGCCAGACAACGCGGCCGACCTCTACTCGACCTTGTGCGACCTCGTGCCCGCGGAACGCGCAGCCGAGCCCTGCGCAGCCAGAGACCTTTGGATCTGCAACGGCGGCGGCGGTGCCTTCCCCGAACCAGCAGGCCCCAGCGCGGAGCAAGACGCTGAAGATGGGCCTGACATGCGCGAGCGGGTCACTGGTCGTTCTGAGTGCCGACCGAAGGCGGGGAAACGCAAAGCATTCATGCTGACCATCAATTGCCGCCTGGCCCTCGTCGCGTCCCCACAGCTGTGGCAGGCATGCCATGCGTGGGTGGAGGATCGGCGGACGATATTCGGCATCACCTACTGGAGCGCAGCCATGGAGGAGTCCGTGCACTCAGCTGACAATGGGCGCGTGCTCTTGCATTGTTACTTCTATTGGTCTGGTGGTGGCAGCAAGGGCGTGTGCCACAAGACTCTGGACGCGTGGGTCTTCAGGGGGGGAAGCCACGCGTGGCTCAGAGCACCGAGGGGCGATGTCCGTGGTATTGTGTGAAAGCCGCACAGCGTGGCCAGTTCTACGTGCACGTCAAGAAGCAAGGGACCCTGGAGAGCGACTCAAACTCCGCTCCCTGGGTGGCGGGATGTTCGCCCGAACGCGTTTGGGTCATGGCCTTGTGCAATCAGCGCAAGCTGGACCACGCGCAGTTTCTAGAGATTTTGATGAAAGTGCGCGACGGACACGACACGGCCCAGGCACTGGTTGCCGCGATAGAGGCCGACGAGCACGCGCGCGAGTTCACCCGCGAGCAGCGCGAGGCGCGGGCAAGAATCCAGAAAGAGGCGTTGCCTTGTAAGCCCTTGTCTGACCATATCCAAAAATTGCGACTTCAGTTCTAGAAGAGAAGCGGTGCAATTATCTGGTCCTCTTCGAGCCGATATGCACGGGCAAATCCCGGTTGGCACGGGGCCCGTTCGGGGACGCAGGGACATTTTTTGTGGATGCTCAACACGCAGAGCACCCCGGTTTGAGGCGTTAGCAGAGAAAGGTCCACGAGGCGATCCTCTTCGACGAGGTGCAGTCACCAGTGCTTGTGGCCGTTAATAAGAAGCTGCTGCAATCAATCGTCGGCGGAGCAATGCTAGGTCAGAGCCCGACACGTAACTTCACTTCCAAGATATGGCTCTGGCGAATTCCACGGATGTTGACAACAAACATTTGCGCGCACGACGACTGCTCTTTCGCCGACCAGAACTGGATCGAGACGAGCGCTTTGGCAGCGCATGTGGGAGAGCCTGAGTGGGAGGCCGCGGGCGCGGGCGGCCGCGGGCGCGGGCGGCCGCGGCGCCAGTAGCGCCCCCGCGCTCTCTGGCGCCCTCTGAGAGCTCCGCCGCGTCGGGCAGGAGGTGGTCTCCGCGCCCCCGACGGGCCCCGGTCGGGGCGAGCGCGGAGCACGTACGGGGCCGAGAGATATTTGGCTAGAAAAAATAACGTTTGCCAGCGTGGACCCAGAATAGCTTTCTTGCTCCGCGGTGCAATGAAGCGCGCAGGTCGCGGAGTCGCCGCACCGGATGCTCGCGCGAACATCCCGCCCGCCCACCCGCAACCTGTTGGCGCGCGCGTCATCGGGCCACGTTTGCGTTTGCGGACTGGGGTGCGCGAGATCGCCCCCGCGACTCATGCCTGATGCCCCGATCCCACCGCCGGATGTTAATCCTTCCTTCGGCGGGGGGCCCGCCTTCGCGGCGACGTGTTCAACCCTGGGCCCCTGGCGGCGCGCGGATTCGTTTCTTTCCTCCGCGCGCGCAGAGCCGCCGCAACCCCCGCATGGCCGCCGCACCCCCCAGTGCTTGAGTGCAAGTGGCTCCATCATGCGCTAGCGCGCAGCTGCTCCTAGCAGCGATTTGAGGCATTGAAGGACACAGTCTAGACTCGTGACTTAGCAATAATGAACACACACAATTATCGCAACTTGGAAGTACGGAAGTAGAGTATAATCTGGATTAAGGAATATGGAGACAGCGTAGAATGTCGGTTTCGGACATAGGACACGCAGTAGCGCGCAATAAATATTAGCACAATTCCGTAGTTTAACTAAATTAAGGTGATTCTGCATTACGTTTACAACCTGGGCTCTCGTGCTTTTCCTGTTCCGGTCGCGCGGGGGAGGGGTGGGGCCCCGCGCGTCAGCGTTCCCGCGGCTGAGATTTCATTCATCTTCCGGAATGTCCAGCAGGGGTAACCCCTCGCCCGAGCCCCTCGCCGAGGTTTTTTCTCTTACGCGGAAACCAGACGCCCTAGGTTCCTCGGCGCGCCCGGGAATGCTCTCTTTCCGGATGGGCCCCTATGGGTCCCATGTTCGAGTTGCTTGGGTGATTGCGCGAGCAAATCTCAGCGACCGCGCGGGCGCGCGGGCGCTCCCCGCGCGGGTCCGCCATTCGGGCGGGCGCGGGGGCATAGCGATGGCGACGGCGTCGCGAGGCGCCCGCGGGTCCCCCGCGCGCGCGGGGCGCAGGCCCCGTCGCGCCCGCCCGTGGCCTTGCTGAGGCGGAGCGAAGACAGTACGAGTGGAAAGCGAATCAAGACGAAAACGGAAAACACCGTTCAGGTCGAGTCCTGCCCGTTTTGGGTCGCCCCCCGCCCGCCCCCGCCCTTTCCCTCGCCCCCCCGCTTGCCCAGCTCCGTCCCCGTCCCCGTGGCCGTGTGTCTCCCCCCTGCCCACCCGCCTCTGCGCCACGCGTCCCCGTGCCCGTCCCCTTCCCGCCTTCTGGGACGCCCCCCCAGGGGCCCGAAAATGACCCACGCCCCGCGCGTCGCGGCCGGGGCCGCCGGGCCCTCCTCCTCCTCCTCCTCCTCCTCCTCTTCCTCCTCCTCCTCCTCCCTCTCCTCTCCTCCTCCTCCTCCTCCTCCTCCTCCTCCTCCTCCTCCTCCTCCTCCTGCTCCTCCTCCTCTCCTCCTCCTCCTCCTCCTCCTCCTCCTCCTCCTCCTCCCTCCTCCTCCTCCTCCTCCTCCTCCTCCTCCTCCTCCTCTCCTCCTCCTCCTCTCCTCCTCCTCCTCCCTCCTCCTCCTCCTCTCCTCCTTCCCTCCTCCTCCTCCTCCTCTCCTCCTCCTCCTCCTCCTCCTCCTCCTCCTCCTCCTCCTCCTCCCGTCCTCCTCCTCCTTGAGGGCGGCGCGAGGGCGCCGAGGTGACCGCGCGTCGCGCATCGCGGGGGCGAGAATTGGACTGCAAGCGCCGTCACTCAGCGGGGGGGCGAGAATAAGAACTAGGCCGCGTGAGGTTAGGCGGCCTGGGTCTTCCTTTTTTTTTGTTCTCTATCTCTCTCTCTCTCTCTCTCTCCCTCCCCGCTTCCCCGCCCCCCCCCCTTTGGCCTCGCGAGGCGAGGCCGAGTGGACGAGGTTCCCCAGCATAGCGGCGGCTGCTCGAGATACAGGAGCTGCACTCTCTCCCGAGGGGGGAGGGGTGTTGAGAGGGGGGGGGAAGGAGGATATGGGAGGAGGACGGAGGCAGGAGCGGGAGGGAGGAAGGCGGGGGGTGTTCGGTTCGGCTCTCCTCGGAAGCAAGGTGCACGACCTCGTCAGCCGGTGGGCTGTGCGGGGGGGAGAGAGGGCAGGAGATGGAAGAGGGAGGCAGGAGGAAAACGAGGGGAGGGCAGAGGAGGGAGATGCAGGAGGGAGGAAGCCGGGGGGGACAGAGGAAAGAGAATGGGGGCGAGGGACATGCCACTCACTGGATGCGGTGAGCAGTCCAGCGAGTCCGTCGTATCCTCTCAGCGGTCGTCTGGTTAGTGCGGTAGGCTGTACTTACGCGGCCTGTTCTCGCAGAGCTCCAGAGTTCCAGGGGCAATGGAGAATGCATTTGTTTGTACCTTGGCTATCGATATGAATCTAATCAGGAGGGAAAGAAACACACAGACACTATGGGAAATCATTTTATGGGAAAATATGGGACAATATGGGGAATCATTTTATTTGTGTGTTCCAGGGCCCCTTCATCTAAGCCATGAAAGCACCGTCGGCCAGCAGCTGGCCCCCTGGCTCCGCCAGGGGCGCTGCTGGTACCGACGCGGCTCCGCCGCGCCCAGCCCCAGAAGGGGAGAAGAACCTTGGCCAGGATGGAGGGAGGGGGGCGGAGGAGGGAGGAGGATCAGGCAGGACGGAGGAGGGCAGAAGGACGGAGCTGGTGGGAGGGAGGACGCAGGGGTCTGCCTTGCCTGCCTGTCCATGGCTGCGTTCGCGTTCGTGTCTGCAGCTCCTGAAGCCGAGTCTGTGTGTGCGCGCCCGTCCGCACGGGATTTGGGTTTGACCGCACCGTCGGTTTGCCCTCGCGGCCCTCCCCACTGCTGCATACTGTGCTGACGACTGCCGTTGCTCTTTCACCCGTCGGCCTGTGCGTGCTCCCCCGTGTTCCCCTCCGCCCTGCAGCTTTTCCACCGTCTGGGAAACGCCCTGTGTGGACTGGCCTCGCCCGCTCCCGCGAACATGTTGCGCTCTGGCTCGTGCTAGTACGCCTCACGACCAGTTGGGTCCATGCACGCACTTTTCCTGGCCTCACGGTGTTTCGACACGTCGTATATCGAGTGCACTCAGCATGAGAGGATGGTCTGATTCGACCGGCCAGTTGAGTTCGCAGTGGCCCGCTGACGCAAGAAAGTGTCCGTGGCCGTGGCTGTGCCATCTAGTCGGTCTACTTGTCCGTGTGGCTATTTGCTGGCTCTGAGTCTGCTTGTCTATGTTTGTATGATTCTCCCCTCCCCCGCCCTCGCGCTCTCCCCCTCATTTACCAGGTGTGCCGAGCGCTGCTATCGGAAACCTCTGCGACGAGCAGGCGTTGCACAGCGGCTGGGAGTTCCTGGGGCGCGGGGGGCGGTGATGTCTAAGAGTGGTAGGCTGGATGAAGTGGAACGGAAAGATCATCAGCGGACTTTGATAAGGCGAGCGACACGTCGCTTGCCTCAGACTTCCTCTTCATCTTATGACTTCAATGCATGTGCCCAGGGAACTCATATCAGAAAATCTCGCGCTTACGTCTAGGGGGACTCAATGCTGCCTGCGGCAACACCCGCCACCGTGTCAGCGCAACAGCGCAGCAGGAAGGAAATTGAGGTTACGACCCGCTCCAATTCAATACCCTGTCTGAACTGGCGTGGGTCTGAAACACCCCTTCATTTGTCCGCAGCTTGGCTAGTCGTCGTACACTGCAGACCCCATGGCACGGCTTCACCCTCCGGAGGGCCTGCAACTCGGCAGAATACGCTTCGAGCGCGGCGCCTTTGCTAGTGACACGATCAAGAGATCTGGTGGTGATACCGACAGCGATCATCGTCATGATGTCGAAGCACGACTGGCGATTTGGATTCTGCGGCGCACATTCTCCCCCCTTCCCCCTCCTCGTCGTCGTCGTTGGACTCCGTTTGCAGTTGCTCCTCCTTCTTCCCCCTCCCCCTCCTCCTCCTCCTCCTCCTCCTCCTCCTCCTCCTCCTCATCCCCAGGACCTCGTGCCCATTCGTGGCGCGCGAGGTCAATGCAGAATTCTTAGACATACCGCCCGAGGTGTCAACTCCTCGCCCCTCGCCCCTCCCTCCTCGCCATTTGCCACTCTTCCTCGTCCTCCTCCTCCTCCCCCTCCTCCTTCTCCTCGTCTCCTCCTCCTCCTCCTCCTCCCCTCCTCCTCCTCCTCCTGCCTCCTCCCCTCCTCCTCCTCCTCCTCCTCCTCCTCCTCCTCCTCCTCCTCCTCCTCCCTGCTCCTCTCCTCCCTCCTCCTCCTCCTCCTCCTCCTCCTCCTCCTCCTCCTCCTCCTCCTCCTCTCCTCCCCTCCTCCTCCTCCTCCTCCTCCTCCTCCTCCTCCTCCTCCTCCATTCCTCTTCCGTGTACACAGTTCCTCCCTGTCGCACCCCGAGGCTGGTCGAAAGGGCGGGCTGGGCGTTTCGCTGCAGACTTCTAACCATTTATTAGCCTGGCGATTAAAATCTGAAACAGTTTCACAGATGGATGGCGCGCCGCTTGCAAAATGTGGCTCTCGCTTCAGCGCCGTGCACATCATTTCAATCAAGTTGCTAGAGCTTCGCGGGTTGAGGGCGGGTCGTTTTCAAGATCTGGCTCTCGCATTAGCGCCGCGCACATGTTATTTTTAATATTGCGAGAGTTTAGCGGATTGAGGGCAGGTGGTGTTCAAAATGTGGTTCTCGCTTGAGCGCCGCGCACATTCGTTTGACAACCATTGCAAAAGTTTCACGGAGCGGGCCGTTTTCAAAATGTGGTTCTCGCCTTGGTGCCGCGCACGTTCATTTTTGAAAATTGCAGAAGGTTCACGGATTGAGGGCGGGTGGTGTTCAAAACGTGGTTCTCGCTCTAGCGCCGCGCATATTCGTTTGAACGGATTGTAAGAGTTTCACGGATTCCCATGGCCAACGTGCCAGACATGGTTTCCTTGGAAGGACTCAGGGTTGTGAGGGCGCAACAGTGACGTTGATTCGCGGTGTTGAAGTCCCAGGAGTGGTGTCGTGCAAGGATTCAGGATCGTCAAGATGCAATTGTCATGTTGATTCGTGGCGTTGGAGTCCCGAGAATGGTGTTCTGGCACGCTTCAGGGTCTTCAAATGGTTCTCTCCTAACGAGGCAGTTCCCTCAGTGGACATGAACCCTTGTAGGGGCCTATGAAAAGGGAGCTTGGAGGGAGGGTTTATTCCAACATCGTTGATGAGTCTTCGGCTTCCACTGCTCCTCCTCCTCCTCCTCCTCCTCCTCCTCCTCCTCCTCCTCCCTCTTCCTCCTCCTCCTCCTCCTCCTCCCTCCTCCTCCCTCCTCCTCCCTCCTCCTCCCTCCTGCCTCCCTCCTCCTCCCTCCTCCTCCCTCCTCCTGCTTCCCTCCCTCCTCGCCCCTCGCCCCCGCGCCCCTCGCCACTCGGCCCTGGGGTGCCCCTCGCCCCTGGGCGCGCGCCCAGGTTCCGGTGGCCCGGCGCGCCGAGGCTGTCGGGGGCGGCCAAGAGGAGGGTGACTGGGGGGGGGGGCTGGAATAAGGTCGAGGGAGACAATTACTGAACACTCCCCCTGCCCCCCAAACCCAATGTTGGCACGCGCGGGGGAGACCGCGGTCGAAGTGCATCTCATCAGACCCACCGCCAACTGTGCACATTGGGGGGAGGGGGAGGCGTTGACGGATGAATGTGGCATGTGTTCGCTAATTTGTTCCGAGGCCTGTATCATGGCGCGGGCCATGATGCTTTCTCAGATTTCATGGCGCCTTTCTTCTTTCATTGCATCCCACGTGCCCCCCCCTGGGCCGCGCACGTGCCGCCAGCCATGATTTGCGCCCCTCCCTCTCTGACGCCCCCCTCCTGGCCGCCCCCGAGGCTGGAGAGGAGGGAGAAGAGGCCGAGGCGGCCAGCCGGGGGGGCCGTGCGTCTCGGGCGGCGAGATCCACAGCATCCACTGCCCCCTGGCCGGGCCCCCCTCCTGAACCCAGGAGCTGCGTACACGCCCTCCTGACCAAGCCGGGAGGGCGTGGCGTATGCACCGCTGCCGGGTCCAGGATGGGCCCGGCCAGGGGGCAGCGGATAAGTAGTTATAGATCTCGTCGACCGTGCGTCCCCCCGCCCGCGCGCTCTTCGTCCTCGTCGTCGTCGCCGCCGCCGCCGTCGTCGTCGTCGTCGTCGTCGTCGTCGTCGTCGTCGTCGTCGTCGTCGTCGTTGTCATCGTCGTCATCGTCTAAAATGTCGACGGCAACCATCCTGAGGTGACGTGCGTCCCTCGCGCGCGAGCGTGCCGAGCCTCTGTGGGGTCATCCCCAGACCTCCTCGAGTCATGAAGACGTCACGACGGTTTTTGTTAGCTATCTTCGGCCTCGGGGGGCTTTTGCCGGGCTTCGGAACCGTCAAAAAACGACTCAGGATGAGAAGCCGGTCCCGGGGAATTGGTCGAGACCTCCAGGAGTCGACGTTATGAAAAAATCATGACGTCGGGGGTCTGGGTTTTTGGGGCATCGAGCAGAAGGGGATGGGGCCGACGTTCCCGCCGCAAACGGAAGTTCTGGACGTTTTTTGACTTCTGTTTTTTGTCGGTTGTTTCTGCGTTGCGGCTGTCGTTGGCGAGCGTTTCTGGTTTGACGCAGTGCTTTCTTGAATGGTTGCAGCCTGGCCACTTGCAGCGCTTTTCCCGTGGAGACTTCCTTCAATGTGCTTTCGCGAGGCCGAGTGGCGATCGCGCGCGGCGGCGCCCGTTTGCCACGTATTCGTGCGCGGCGGCGCCCTTCAATGTGCTTTCGCGAGGCCGGTGGCGATCAGGGGATGTCGCAGTAGTAAGAACGTGGTCGCTGCGGCATTGCAGCGCTACTTTTAAGGCGGCGCGCAACGCCCGTTTCGCATGTTAGTTGCACGTGTGTTGCATGGGCGGATTGCCCCCGCGCAGCGATGCTTCGCACGGCGTGGTTGCGCCGATTTTGAGCGACGATGCGCGCTCATGCGGGCAGAGCGCCTCCGCGTGGCGAGCCCTCCTGTTGCGTCTAACGTGCCGCCAAGTCTGTTGCTTCTGGGCTCGCGGGCCCCCGCCCCCCCTTCCCTTCTGGGCGGCGCGCCTGAAATTGGAATGCCGTTCCTTTTGCTTTGTTCAGCGCTTGCGCTTGCCACGTTCTCTTGGGTGCTGATCATTTGTGGTCCGCCTCTCGCCCGGCCTCTTCCCTTTGCCTTACCCCTCCTTTTTTCCGCATTGCTTTAATTCTGGGTTCTCTCGGTGCACGCATCTCAAAATGGAGAGCGCGGTCGGCTCGTGGGTCGCGCAAGTTCATTGACACATCATTTATATATATATATATATATATATATATGTATGTCTGTATGAAATGTGGTTGCGTGTAGAAAATCGGGCGCTTGCGTTATGCCGATTTGTTCGCGGCAAGCCCCGCGCACTGCGATTGCGCATGTTTCGGCGCGGCGAGTTTTAGAGCACCGCCAAGAAAACCGTACCACGCGACAGATCGTCGCCCATACTCGTGCTATGGCCGCAACGTGTGACACGCTTATCTGTGTCGTTTCGGGGCGTACTCCTTCGTTTTTGTTGTCGCCCCCTCCATCCTCCGCCCCCCCGTTGTGAGTCACTTTGTTTGTTTGCCTCATTCTGCGTCCGTTGTTTTTTCCTTCTCGGGTCTCTCACGGGGTACTCTCAGGCCGCATTGGGCTTGTCACGGGGCCCTGTTGGGTTGTCTAGGGGGCCTCTTGGTGCACTCTTGGGCCGTTTGGGGGCTTTGTGGGACAGTTCGGGGCCATCGTGGGCCGTCGTGAACTCCCCGGGAGGTCTGCTGGTGCCTGCTAGGGTCGTGCCCGCTTCCATGGCGGTTTCTTGGGTTCGCTTGCGGATTAGCCGATGCAGTGCAGGTGCGGCGGTGACGGCATCAGAGTCGCCTTCAGGTCTCGGCAGAACAGTTGCGCCGCGTTTCCAAGCGGGGTGGCTAATTGAGGGCTTCTGACGGCCACTCTGGGCCTGTAGAATATTGGGCCCCCCCGCTCCAAGAAACCATGGTGGACGTAAGGAACCTTCGGGTTCCTTAATAAATCTGGGGGCCTCGATGGTCCCAAAGCACGAGACATCTGTAAGGGGTTTCCCTGGTTCCAAGTAAGGTCTTCATCTTGGTGCCTTGCGGTCCGACAAATCAGGGCCTTACGTTGGTCCTCGGCGGTCGCAGGTCCCACAGGGACTCAAAGATCTCACAGATCCCACAGGTCCCACAGTTCCCACAAAGCCCACAGGTCTCGCACATCTCGCAGGTCGCGCAGGTCTAACACTCCCCGCAGGTCCCACAGGTCCCACAGGTCTCGCAGGTCTCTCGGGTCTCGCAGGTCCCACTGGTCCCACAGTTCACACAGGCCCATGGGTCCCACGGGTCCAACAAGGTCCTCAAGTCCCACAGCTGTCGCAAATCTCACAGGTCCCGCATGTCCCACATATCCAACATATCCCACAGGTCCCGCAGGTCCAACAAATCTTGCAGGCGCCGCAGGCATCGCAAGTCTGGCAGGTTTCGCAGGCCCCATACATCCCATTGGTCCAACAAATCACATAGCTCTCTCATGTCCCATGAATCCTAGAGGCCCCACCGGTTCCACATGTCCCACCGCTCCCACAACGCCCACAGGTTCCGCAGGCCCCTCAGGTCTAGCAGGTCTCTTTGATCCTGCAGGCCCTTCAGGTCTCACAGGACCCACATCCCCCACAGGTCCCACGGTTCCAAGAAGTCTCGTCGCAGGCCCCGCAATTCCCACAGGCCCCACTGATCCCACACAACACACATGTCCTAGACGTGCCCCAGGTCCCACAAGTCCCACAGGCCCAGTGGGTACCACAGGTCCCACAGGTCCCACAGGTTTCACAGGTCCCAAAGGTCTCACGGGCAACACAAGTCCCACGGGTCTCGCAAGTCTTGCAGGTCGCACAGGTCCCACAGGTCCACGGGCCCCACAGGCCCCACAGGTCTCACAGGTTTCTCAGGTCCCACAGGCTCCACAGGTCCCGCATTTCCCACATCTTTCACAAATCCCACAGTTTTCGCAAGTCTCTTTGGTCCCGCAGGTCCCCCAAGTCGAGGTCCCACAGGTCCACAGCTCTAACAGGGCTCGTTGGTCCTGGAGGTCCGACAAGTCCCAGAGGTCCTACAGGCTCCAGAGGTCTCGCGGGTTTCGCGGGTCTCGTAAGTTCCGCAGGTCCCGGAGGTCCCAGAGGTCCCGCAGGTCCCGCATGTTCCACAGGTCACAGGTTTCATAGCTTCAACTGGTCTAGCAGGCCTCGATGGTCCCACATGTCCTGCAGGTTCCACAGGTCTCTCATGTCACCTTTGCTGCTATCAGGGTGCTTTGCTAGGGTAAGTTTTGAAGTACTGGGCGCACGTAATTGCTTGAGCTGCGCGCAGGGCCGAGTGGGCCATGAGCGCAAGTGTGAAACGCTGCCCCACAAATGCGGATTTTCGCCCGTCCTGGATTTTTCATGTGAATTTGCGGAGGCGGTGGTTTCCATCGTGGTCATAAGTTGGCTGGACCCTGGGCGGGAAGAGGAGGAGGAGGAGGAGGAAAATGATAAGGAGGGGAAGGAGGAGGAAGATGAGGATGATGATGATGATGATGATGATGATGATGCTGATGCTGATGCTGATGCTGATGCTGATGCTGATGCTGATGCTGATGCTGATGCTGCTGCTGCTGATGATGATGATGATGATGATGGTGGTGGTGATGATGATGACGATGACGATGACGATGATGATGATGATGATGATGATGATGATGATGATGATGATGATGATGATGATGATGATGATGATGATGATGATGATGATGATGATGATGATGATGATGATGATGATGATGATGATGATGATGAGGATGAGGAGGAGGAGGAGGAGGAGGAGGAGGAGGAGGAGGAGGAGGAGGACCAGTGTCAACCCAAGACTCATCGACGATGTTGGAATACACCCTCCCTCCACGCGCCCTCTTCATGGGCCCCTAGAAGGTTTATTTCCCCAGGGAAGTGCGCCGTTGGGAGTCAACGGTTTGAACATCCTGAAGCGTGCCAAAACACCGTTCTGATTTCAACGCTACGAATCAAACTTGCCGTTGCGTCTTGAAGATCCTGAATCGCGCTAAAACGCCATTCCTGGGATTTCAACACCGCGAATCAACGTAAATGCTGCGCCCTGACAAATCCCGAATCGTTCCAGAACGCCGTTCCTGGCACGTTAACAATGAGAATCCGTGCAACCCTTGCACGTGTTTAAGACGAGTGTGCGCTAAAGCGAGAGCCGCGTTTTCGCATGGGCCGCCCTCAGTCCGCGAAGATCGTGCGACTTGTTTGATAGAATGTGCGCGGCGCTCAGGCGAGAACCACATTTTGAAAACGGCCCGCCCTCAATCCGCGAAGTTCTTGCAAATGTTTCAGGCGAGCGTTCGCGGCGCGAAGGCGAGAGCCACATTTTCAAAACGGCCCACCCTCGATCCCCGAAGCTCTTGCAAGTGTTTAAGGCGAGGGTGCGCGGCGCTGAAGCGAGAGCCACATTTTGACAACCACCCTCCCTCAGTCCGTGAAGCTGTTGCAATGTGTTTGAAAGAATGTGTGCGCGGCGCTAAGGCGAGAGCCACATAGTAAAAACCACCTGTCCTCCACCTGTGAAGCTGTTGCCAGTGTTTTGTTTCGGGATCATATCCGTAAGGAAGTCTCAGGCGAAACGCCCGGCCCGCCCTTCCGACTGGCCGCGGGGTGCGACATGGAGGAGCTCAATGAACGGAGGACGAGGAGGAGTCACAAAGGAGCGGAAGCGGAGAGGGATGAGAGGGAGTGGAAGGATTCCTGGTCGGGGATCCCGAGGTGTCCTCGGTCAGGCTCTCGGCCTTGTGGGGCT